GGGGGGGGGGGGGGGGAGAGTGGTAGTTTTTTTTTTGTGGGACCTTTTTGGGCGCGGGGGGGGGGGGGCACTTGGCTTTTCCTGGGGGCACTCCCCCTCCCCCCCCCCGGGATATAGCTGAAAGAAACCCTGGCCTAGAGTTGTAGAGTCAAGTGCACACCTAATGTGCCTCGAGTTGTAGAATAAGATTGTTCCTATAGTTCATCAAAGAACCCATTTGATTTTAGATTCACTCTAGAGACGCCAAGCTGCTTATTAAAATATTATTATTATTATTATTGTTTGTTTTTTTGTTTTTTTTTACAATTTCAGAAAATGTCGGCGGACTAGTTGAAATGGCATTACAGGCCAGACTTTGAGAACCGCACTCATGCTGTACAGCGAGTTTATTAACCATTCCCATTGTCTACTTTGCTTATTAAAATATTATTATTATTAATTTTGTTTGTTTACAATTTCAGAAAATGTCGACGGACTAGTTGAAATGGCATCACAGGCCAGACTTTGAGAACCGCACTCATGCTGTACAGCGAGTTTATTAACCCTTCCCATTGTCAATTTTTCAATATGGGTAGTTAACATTCTTAAGCTTATCCGATACCGACATGCCAAATGTACATGTTGCAGGTAAGACCATTCCTATTGCGCCACAGTCCGTGTGGGGCTTTGGTCCGCTCCACCACTTCCTTCCACTCAGACCTAACTGGTGCTTTTCGTTTCCATGTTTGAATTCCCAGCTGCTGGAGATAATTTGGCCTTCTCTCTAGGTGTCTCAAACGACGCAGCCTGCCTCCCCACTTTTTTAAAAAAAATCATAATACAAACGTGACATCCTGGTATCCATATTCACCTTTTTTTTTTTTGTCCGTGTATTTTGTTGCAGATTAGGCTTAAATATAAAAATTATTTCATACGCTTCGAAGGCCGCACGTGAACCTGAAGCTTTTAAAACAATGACAGCACTCCTCTCTTATCATGCTGTAATGTCTTCGACGGTTGTGGAATGGCCACACAACTGAAAAGAGTGCTGGGTTGAGCGTGTGTGTTGTTTTAATTGTAATCAAAGTCATACGACCTCAGCTTTTTCTTTTGTGAACGGCGGTTTTGGGGGGGGGGGGTGTCATTATTAGCGGGAGTTGAGATCACGCCGTCGGATTGTCCCCCACCAACTTCTTCATCCTTCAAATTTTGAGAGGATTGAATGGGGTGGGGTGCTAGTGGGTACCGAATGACAATCGGACTTCAAAATACAATAAAACTTGGTTAGTTAGTGTGTATGATCTGAAACATTGCTACATCAGTTGTGTTGGAGTTTTACATACTTTAAGCATGTTGGAGTTTTACATAATTTTAGTATGGTGGAGTTTTACATAATCTCAGTATTGGAGTTTTGCTAATTTTAGCATTTTGGAGTTTTACTAATTTTAGCATGTGGGGGTTTTACATCATTTTGGTATGTGGGGGGTTTTACATACTTTTAGTATTGGAGTTTTACTAATTTTAGCGTTTTGGAGTTTTACTAATTTTAGCATGTGGGGGTTTTACATCATTTTGGTATGTGGGTTTTTTTCATACTTAAAGTGTTGGAGTTTTACATAATTGATTAATCATAATTTTAGCATTGGAGTTTTACCTACTTTTAGTATTGGATTTTTAAATCATTAATGATAATTTTAGTTTTGGAGTTTTACATAATTATTTTAGTATGTTGTAGTCAGAAGTTTTAGACAGTTTTATATTTCCCGTGGAACTTGTTATTATTACTATTGTACATTTATTATAACTTTTTTTTTTAAAAGCAGCTGCTAGAATAAATTGTCAATGCTGAAGTCCGCGTGTCGGAGTTTAGAGTCATGTAAGTGGACATTTTTAGTAGGCCTATTGTAACAGGATAAAACTATGTCCAAAGTAGAGACCGACCGAATTTCGGCTTCGGTTTCGGCGCCGAAAGTGTCCATTTTATCACTTTCGGCCAAGTTTCGGTTTCGGCCAAAACTGAAAGTTAACTTTCGGCTTAATTTCGGTTTCGGCCGAAAGAGAAAAGTTAACTTTCGTTTTTTTTTTCGGTTTCTGCCAAAATTGACTTAGACTTTCGAAAGTGACTGAGGTTTTCGGTCATCTAATTCTCAGCAAAAGTGATATGTAACAACAAACTAAGCGACATTTAAGAACAAACTAAACGATCTTTAAGAACAAATTAAGCGATCTTTAAGGATAAACTAAAAGATCTTTAAAAACAAATAAAGCGATCTTTAAGAACAAATTAAGCGATCTTTGAGAACAAACTAAACTATATTTAACAACAAACTAAGCGACATTTAAGAACAAACTAAACGATATTTAAAACAAACTCAAGATCTTAAAGAACAAACTAAGCGATTTTTAAGAATGGACTAAAAGATCTTTAAGAACAAAACAAATGATCTTTAATAGTAAACTAAATGAATTGTGAGAATAAACTAAGCAATCTTTAAAAGAAAACTAAATGTTCTTTAGGAACAAACTAAAAGATCTTTAAGAACAAACTAATCGATCTTAAAAAATAAAGAAACAAAATCAATTATCTAAAGAACAAACTAAGCGATCTTTATGAACAAACTAAGCGATCTTTATGAACAAACTAAGCGATCTTTATGAACAAACTAAGCGATCTTTATGAACAAACTAAGCGATCTTTATGAACAAACTAAGCAATCTTTATAAAAAAACTAAGCGATTTTTAATAACAAACTAAATGATCTATACAAACAAACTAAATGATCTATACAAACAAACTAAATGATCTTTAAGAACAACTAAGCGATATTTAAGAACAAAATCAATGATCTTTAAGAACAATTTATCTTTTAATAACACAAACTAATTGATCTTTAAGAACAACTTGGCGATCTTTTTTGAAAAAACTAAATGATCTTTAATAAAAAAAAACCTAAAAGATCTTTAAAGAAAAACTAAGCCATTTTTAAGAACAAATTAAGCGATCTTAAAAAACAAAATAAACGATTTTTAACAACAAACTAAGCGATCTTTATGAACAAACTAACCGATCTTTAAGAACAAATAAAGCGATCATTAACAAAAAACGGAACGATCTTTAACAACAAACTAAGCGATCTTTAAGAAAAAACTAAACGATCTTTAACAACAAGATGTTATATTAGATGTTTATTTATTAATATTCACAATTATCTCATTTTTTATAAAAAGAATGTAAACATTTATACTTTCCACCATCATTTTCGATGATTGCAGAATGTATGCGGGAACGAATTTCAAAATATTTAAATATTTCATTTTCGGTTTCGGAAGAAAGTCATTTTTAACTTTCAGCCTTTTTTCGGTTTCGGCCGAAAGTCATTTTAAACTTTCGGCCTATTTTCGGCTTCGGTCGAAATCAGAAAATCACTTTCGGTCGGTCTCTAGTCCAAAGCATTAGACATTAGACATACTGCACAAACTGTCCATGGGCCGCACTGAGACATGATGATATATGCCCAAAAATGTCCAAGGGCATCGCTGAGACATGATGATATATGGCACAAACGGTCCAGGGACATCTTTGAGACATGATGGTATATGGCACAGACTGCCTAGGGCATCGCTGAGACATGATGATATATGGCACAGACTGCCCAGGGGCATCGCTGAGACATGATGATATATGGCACAGACAACCCAGGGGCATCGCTGAGGAACATTTGTACCTATAGCCACGCTTGTGAGAAACTACCAAGCCCTCCTCCCCGAACATAACTAATATGAAAGCCGAAGGAAAACCGAGACCGCAGAAGACCTAACGAGATCTAGTGTATAAGAGCATGCACACGAGAGCGAGGAAAGAGATCAGAGGGAGAGAGAGTCGGGGAGGGGGGGGTGTTCGAGAGATCAGACCCACGCAGAAGAACATCTTAGACTGAAGTGTGCGGCCCGTATCAATTGCAGCAAGCGCCAGTCGGCTAATGATGACTGAGTGAATATTGAATATTGGTTATTCATCCTATGGTTAAAGTGGCTGCTGTGCACCCCCCCCCTCATCACCACCACCACCATTGTAACCTTGCCATAATTAACTACCTACACAACGTCATATGGGAGAATATTTTGTTTTGAAACTGATGTATGCGACTACTATAATTATCGAGGGTGGGGGAGGATGGGACGGCATAACTATGCTTTTTCCGATAATTTATTTTCTATATTTCTATTGACCTTTAACCCCAAAGGTTACAACCATCCGTTAACGAGTAGTACTATCTGAAGGAAAAAAAAAATAAATAGTATAGACGAACAGCTTGAATAGCTTTCATTGCCAAGGCGAGTTTTAAATTAAAAAAGTGCATTATTAAACGATTGTAACAAAAAAAAAATACCACCAAAAGCCCCCCCCCCCCCCCCCCTCAAAATAAAAAAAAAACACCCAAAACCCCCCCCCCCCCCCCTTTGATATAAAATACCAATTATCACCGGCGGATCCAGTTAATTAAAAGGCAATAGCACACCCTTGTTGCCGTACGGCTCATAAAAAAAGAGAAATGTCAACAATAGCTTGATGGGGGTCGGAATGCGTTGTGTCTAGGACTTGGTCCGTGTTGTGTAGACGGCGCCTGGTGCTCCGCTTACGAGGAATAAGCGTTTAAGGTTAAGCAAACCTCTTTTTCTCCTCGACATTAGGCTTCTTTGAATGTTACGTGTTGATTTATTGCCCTTACACACCAAGATGCAGGCCCGCACCTAAGGCTAAGGGGGGAGGAGGGGACAACCATGGCACTCGCCAGGGGCCCGAGCTAGATAGGGGCCCGTCCTTTTTCGAGTTTAAAAAAAAAAAATATACCTACACATTTGAAACACGAAAGGGCCCCGAACTCTGTCAGCTGCCTGAGGCCCAGAATTTCCTAGGTGCGGGCCTGAAAGATGGATGCTTGATGAACAGGCCTACTGCTAGGTAGTCATTGAGCCCTACATGGGCTGTAGTGCTAGGTAGTCATTGAGCCCTACATGGGCTGTAGTGCTAGGTAGTCATTGAGCCCTACATGGGCTGTAGTGCTAGGTAGTCATTGAGCCCTACATGGGCTGTAGTGCTAGGTAGTCATTGAGCCCTACATGGGCTGTAGTGCCAGGGGGATGGAATGGTTAAAAAACAATTCAAGTCTTGAAGTGAGTTTCCATGATAAGGACTTGATAATATATATATACATGCATACCGCTTATGGAAAAGGGGTGGGATGTTGGTCTGACATTTTTATAATCACCATGAACTAAAACAAATCATTTATTAAGAAACGGTGAATGAAAATTGCATCGTCAATTTATAAAAAAAATAAATACTGAGGTACTCAACAACCCTACAAATATCTTATGTTGTATATAACATTTTTATCCAAGTCATATTTGTACAATAAAAGTAGATTGAGTAGGTATGAGTCCTATGAACTATTCAGTTGATTTAGGCCCAGACCCAGGCCTAATTATTGGCAGATATTGTATGTTGTGACCCTAACTGTAAATATTAAATAAAATTTAAAGAATTTCTGTATTTTTATGTATTCTGATGAGGGATAATGTAACATGAGTTGTAAAAAAAAACCCAAAGAAATTAGGATTAATTTAGGATTCATCCTCTGGTATTCACATAATTTAGGGTGCTAATAAACTCATTTTTCTTCTGTACCTGGTAGCTAGCCGTCTGCTAATTACTGACAGTCATTTTCTCCATAATCCTTACTCACTACATTTAAACCTCTTAAATGATATGTAAACAAATTTATAAAAAAAAAAAAAAGGTATCCTGAATGCAAATCTCCTGAGGCGTTCTCAAAAGAACCAGAGTGTAAGCAGCATGAAATCATACACAATAATTTAATAGCAAGAAGTAGTGGAGAAAAGTTCTGATTTCACACAATCTCAATTTGCTGTATTTAAATTTAAATCAAAAAACAAAATTGGGGTTACGTTTGAATTCTTTGACAGGTTCTCTAAAGCAGCTTACTATTTTACCTGCATCTTTTCAGTCACCACATTTAAAAAAAAAAGAAAAAAAAAAGAAAAGAGGAATGGTTGGTTTCAGTGACTTGTAAATGACCAAGTTTGCAGACGTCGTCAAACAGGGACAATACCAAAGTGATAATTAGGACACACAGGAATAAAAGTGCCCGATTAAAATTGTTAACTGTTTCAAATACTGGTGTAGAAACAAACAGCTTTACATCTCTATTGGTACCCTGATAAACATGAACACTGCCTGCCAATGATATTGACACAACAATCTTGAAAGTGTGATAAAGCTGCCTTTATTCATGATCATTAAGTCACAACTACTTTCATTATCTAGAGCAGTGGTTTCCAAACAGAATTGTCTTCAAAGGTAAACAGGCACGTGGCAAGATTTTGATATAAATGACTAACAAGTTTACGATGAAAAGTATTGTATTTTAGGGTCTTTAAAAAAAAACAAAAAACAACTAGATGGACATAAAAAAAAATCCCTTTAAACTTATTTAATAATTTATTTTTAAAGCCGCACCTTTAGCCCAAATAGCAACTGGATCAGAACCATGAAGCTACAGCTCACCTGTTAATAATATTCTTTATGTTTTTAAGATGAAAAAGGTTGAAAACCACTGGTCGAAAGTAATTAATTTAACTCTATATATAATTATACACACACAATATTTATTCAAAGTGATTCATTTAGATGATAAATCGGCAAGTGCACTTCCTTCAGATGCTCAATATTTATATCAAAACCTCTCTTCCACTTTTATCAGATTTTTTCAAAACCTCAAATATCTGTATTTGAACTTATCTACCATTACTTGTCTTAAAACAATTTATCAAATGAATACTTATTTTTATTTAAAGCAATGAAAACATTTTACAAAAAAAACAAAAAAAAAAACTTTTAGATTTTGAGAGAATTTCCTTTTAAATGACTCAATAAACAAAGAAATAAGAGAAGAGTGCTTTACTTGTGACAACCAGTCAGATAGTTTCTGATTCTGTGCAGAAGAAATATTAAAATAATGCTATTTTTTGTGGAATATTTTGTTGGGATACTAGTTGTTTTTTTTTTTTACATCTCATGAAATGGGCGGGTTTGAGGAATAATTAATTTTTTTAAAAACCTAAAAATTTCTTTAAAAAAAAACCACAACAACAATCAAATTCAAATCACTAGCACTGCAACTATGGCTCACAGATATGTACTAAGATACCCAAACATTACACATACAAAATAAACATGACATAAGGCACCCATAAGCTCATCACCATAACATGGACTACACTTTCATAAAATTAATAAAACATTGCAGTAATTGCAGGTTTCTTCTTATATACATTAGAGCTGAACAGTTGCTACAATTTACAACCAAAAACATTGAAAAAAAAAAAGAAAAAAAAAAGTATTTATTTTGTGCAAACCATTCTAGCTATCAATCATAAAAAGGTTTTGCAATGCTACTCTTACAATTAAATGATTAATACAATGAAACTTATGCTTCAAAACAATACTATTTTATTTTCTATGCTATAGAAAACTAAATTTTTTTCTTTCTTCAAAAAGTAGATTTGGGTGGTACTTGAACTACTTGAACTTCTGTTAATAAACCAAAACAGGTTGAACTCTTGATCTCAGCTGATACTCATTTTCTTTATAACTCAGGATCAATAAAATAACTAAGCATGTTTTGTTAACTAAAAAGGAAAAACAAACAGTTAAAATTAAACTTAAGGTTTCATACATTTCTCTAACATTTTTGTCAGGGAATTTCAAAATTCACACTCACATAATGTTCAAATTTGCCAGTTTGCCCACATATGGGAAACTGGTGATGACTGATTTCGACTCTCAATTCAAAAATTTATCTTTCCAGTTTCCACCAACTGAACAGATGCAATTATATGACATGAAATGAAGAGACATGCAAATTAAACATTGGTCAGTCAAGTATTATTAGGATAACTTAACTATTAACAGAAATAAAGAAGTGAAACAAGTCTAATTCCATCAACTCTGGATTTAAAGACTAGTATTCTTCTGTAATCATAACATGTCATAGTAAATCTTTTAAAATACTTTAGGCAGTGGCATGTTTCTCTTACACTTCAAAACTAATGAGCATATTTTCAATATCTAATCAATTCATTAAATTCCTTTAAATTGCACAACAGAGCAGAAGATATATATACTTCTGATTAACTTGAGAGAGGAAAACCTCTGTGTCCATTATTAACAATTGACAGTAAAGACATAACATGTTTTGCTAACGACGGACAAAATTAATTTTTTTTATTTCCCAATGTGCAAATATTTAGTTTGGGAACACTGGGTTAAAGTAAAAATGCTAAACAAAATAATAAAAGTAATAAAATTGCATTTCTCGTCTATTTAAAAAATATATATATAAATGGGATGATTTAAAATAAATATAAAATAACAAAATTACTCCCTTCAAATTTAGAATGCATTTAACGTGATCTAAATATGGCACCCCTCAGTCAGAGATTTCCTCCTGGAACTGTTACTCTACATAAAAACTTTTCTCCCATCAATCATTTCAACATCATCACTGCTGGAAGAAAGTGAAGGCCCAGAGAATCTTTCATTTAAACTAACACCAGTCTGTTGAAATTTTTTTTTTGAAAAGTTATGAATGAAGTTGGGAATAAATTAATTTCATTTCACAATGAAACAAGAATATAAAAATGCCATTGGCCTATGAAACTAATTACATATTTTAAAAAGTAAATTAAATAAAATAAGATGATAGCTTTAGGAAGATAATTCGAAAAAAATTCATCTAGATTTTTACTATAAAATGTATGAGAAAACAAAATTAGCGTTACGCACAGATTAATGCAAAAAATATATATAATAAAGCTTAGAATCATACCGCTGGAGCAGCAAAAACACTTTTCTGGAATTTGTAAGAAGTGGAGACAGCTGGCTTGAGAAGCTATATTTAAGATAGAAAAAAAAAGGTTAGGAGCTTTCAGGATGTACTTGGCTGCAAATCCTAAAATTTAACAGATTTTTAGTTTCAATTAAAAAATTCCAATGAAAGACAATGTTAAGTGTTTATAAATTAACAACTTGAAACAAACTGTTACAAGTAAAGAACGGTATAAATAATTTGTATGAATAAAATGATCAAACTACATGTCTCACCTTAAGTTGATCAACAAGAGATGTTGCTTCTTGTTTCACTGGTTGTAAACTGAAACACAATTTCAAAGACATTATAACATTTATTTTCATCAAATATATTTATTTATTTATTTTTTTAAACTTATTTGTAAAAAAATCTAAGCTGTGTGAGGCCAATTTAAGTTGTATAACAATAGCACCCATATTGTCCCTGTACATTCGAGTATTCTTATTTTCAACCTGCAGTTTAGTTGAATTATTGTATGAGAGACTTCTGGTCACACAGTCATTGTTTTAGACCACATTTAATATTGCAAATGTTTTCTTTTAAATAGTCCAGTAAAGTAACAAGATCTTGAAAACTCTTTTACAAAAATTAATCCATGATGGACGAAAACTCACCTCTGATTAGCAACTTCTATAGTAAAATGTTCTGTTTTTTGCTTACCTCCCCTCCATCTAGCCAGAAAAAAAAATTAATTAATAAATCACTATCTCCCATTACTCCCAATATTACTATATTTATTATTATAGCAAGCTAACAATTAAGCATGTCTTGTTTTAAAATTAAAACACTAAATAAAATATGGGTATAAGAAATTTCTTAAGAATTCATTACTTTATCTTGTGTTTAAAAGTATAAGTTGAAAGATATATTTTACATAAGTTGAAAGTAATGAAAGATACATTTTACAGAGTATGATAATAAATGTTAACAGGTTTCTCTTAAACAATTTTATTTATAAAAGAACAGTTCTTTCTTTTATTTTTAAACTAAAAGAAAAAAAATTATTTAAAATCCACAAATTAAAAAAAAAGAAGAAGGTAATCCTTTAAACAAATGGAGAGGCATATTAACCTGCGTCTTTTCCCACCACGGATGAGGTCTGACTTTAGTGGAGTAGAATTAATGACTGTGACAGATGTATTATTCATTTGACGAATAGGTGTGTTGATAATATTATGATCTAATTCTGATGTGAAGGGTAACATTTGACTTCCCCTTCCTCTGCCCCTACCTCTACTCCTGCCCCTGCCTCTTGAATTTAAAGGTGGTGTTGTCTGAAGGGGAAAGGAAAGTGTAAATTATTTACAAAAAAAAATATAAACCAATACCAATAACCAAGTTTTCATAAGTGCATTAATTTGAAAAAAAGATTTCAAGATAAAACAAGTACAGCAAGGCAATAATTGTGGTCTTTTTTCATTAATAAAGCATGACAGCAATGACACTAGTACTGACAAACTTTTACTTACTTTGGGACAACAGATGCTCAAGCATAAAATGGAAATACATTTAAAATAAAAAGATCTGTGCTAAATTTTGGCAAATTATTATTATTATTTTTTGCTTTTCCCCATTTGAATGTGTTTTAAATTAGACATTTTAACTTGAAATTTCTGAAGAGCTGCATATGATACACCTTTTCCATTTCAGAATGAAGAATAGATAAAGCAATCAAAAACTCAAATATAGAATAAGCAAGGCAGATTTTAGAATCCCTGATATAAAATAAATGTTACACTGATCAAGATCAGATAGTCATTTTAAAACTACATAGAAATACTATTATTCTTACAAGGTTGGTATTCAATCCTCGCATCTGGTTGACAACATAATCTCTTGAAGTTTTCTGTAGTGCTAAATTGATACTCTCAAAATTCTGCTTTGCTTGCTGAAGATTTTTCAATGCCAACTGCTTTTCCCTGAGCAATGCAGCCTGCTGCTTTGTTTCATTTAAACGCTGTCTTTGACTTTGCTGCACCGTCTGCTTCAACTGACTGTTTGTAAAAATGAGTGGTGTACGTTGCAGATTTGCAAGTTTAGTTCTACCTCTTCCTCTTCCTCGACTCTGCAACCCTAACTGGAAAAGAAAAATTCACTGGTTTAAAATTATTAACAAAATGAAACTAAAGAATTATAAAATTTATTAAATGTAACCAGACATTAATTAATTACATGTAGGCTAATTACCTGGTTTTTGTTTACACGATTGATCAGATTTTCAGCTGTGTCTACATGAATAATTCCACGTCCTCTTCCTCTGCCTCGCTTGAAACCATGGAGATTGGTTCTGAATTGTTTCAATTTATTTACATTTTGTTGAGTGGCATTACCTCTGCCTCTACCTCTACCACGGCCTCTTACTTGTCCTCTTGCAATTCCAATTCCGGCATTATTTCCACGTCCCCTTGAAAATGGGACACCAAATTTTTGTTGCTTAGCAAGGCGAGCTTCTTTCCGCTTTTCAGTTTTGGAAATCTTGATGATATCATCTAGAACAAAAAAAAAAAGTATTTAATTATTCTTAAATATTTTTTGTACCAAAAGGTGAGGCGTGAACCAGTTAATAAAATTCAAAGAAAAACTTAAAAAATAAATAAATAAATAAATATTTTTCATTTTTTATTTCTACATCTTGTGATACCTGATCATCAGAATTATGTACCAATCTCTATACAAGCTTATTTTCTGACCTAATAATACTAATAAATGTAATTTAAAAACAACTGTTGAACCTAAAACCTGTAATAAAATAAAATTTCTTATCACTTACAATAATTTACAAAATAGTCATCAGTTTAAAAAAAAAATAAAAATTCACACCTAACTACATTTTATCAATGAAATATTTAATTATGAAATTCATACATTTTGCTTAACAGTTATTAACAGTAAAATTTTGAATGGATATTGTATGGTATATTGTTTAATTTTTACAAACCATACATTGCAGCTACATACTCAAGTTTTCACATGATTAAATTCCCTTTATTACTTAGTCTTAGTTCCTAACTATAAAGCCCTAGTAGTAGTTACTAGTTTAGTAGGCTCCCACTCCTAGTAGGCCTAAACTAAGTTCTAACACTAAGGGGCCACCATATGCCGGTATTATGACAAAAAAAGTAATAATTTCATACGTCCCTTCCACCCTCTTGCACCTGTACAGTTTAGGACCTACAATCCCCATAAGTATATACAAATGAGTAGCGATGAGGCCATGACAGGCAATTCAGGCTCATACCAGCAAGAAGCCAGTATAGGAGCTGCTCATTCCTGCCCAAGACAATCGGGGACTGGAACAAGCTTTCAAAAGGTGACAACACTAGACACATTTGTGTCTATTGCCTCAAGCCTTCAAACCCCTAGTGCATGATTCCCTCACAAAGTGGCACTGGAAATCAGTGAGATTTCCTCATCAACACCGGAACAGAAACATTGCAAATCCCATCTACATGCATAGGAGCCAAAATGATCAATAAATTGATCGTGGGCCCTTAAGATATAGAAGTAGAAGAAGAAGAAGCAGCCCCCTACCCCATTTATCACTTTATAGACTTATGAAGTAAAAGAAAACTAAACAGTCACACAAAGCACGGCAGAGGTTCTTAACCTTTGGTCCTTTGAAAAGGTTCAGGGGATCCGAGCGACAAGCTTTACTTTTCAATAAGGACAATTTCAAAAAGGACAATCTTATTAAATGCATTTAAAAACATTGTTATCAGAAAGGGTCCATGGTATGCATCTGACAGATAAAGGGGGTCCATGGAAAATTCAAGGTAAAGAATACCTGCCCTAAATGGTATTAACAAATTATGTCACTTGTTTTCTCCTTTTTTGGTCACTGTCGCTAGTGTGGGCCTACCTACAATGAATAGTTTTTAGTATCTATAATTAATAATTAGTGGTAGTACTACTACTATTGAGGAGTTTCCTATGGCTGGATCTTAAAATACCAAGGGCGCCACCAGCTTAGTGAAAATCAGTCGCTATCTGTATCCTTCAGTTTTCAATATGATAATATGGGGTTTTTCCCCATGCACATACCTTGTTTTTTTATATCAATGTAGCCATAGTTTTTTTTAGTTTAGCTAGTGCCTATTTTTTTTTTTTTAACAGCCCCAGGCTATGTTTTTGTGAGGAAAAGATATAAAATTAAATTACTAATAATTATTTATAATAATTATTATAATTATAATATTAATACACATGCTTAACGACAGATTTTGAATTGCCAATGCTAAAAATACAGAAACAAGATGTAGCCTTTTCTGATATAAAATAGCTGGTTATTTCTCCATGACATTATTACATATCACTGATTTTAATAATAATAAATAATTGATTAGTATTAATATTATAATAATCATAAAGCTTATTGGAAAATCACGCTTCATCCCCAAAGGCTCGAAGCGCGGTACAAAGTCACCCATATTAAAAAAGTAAAAGAAATGAAAAAATCTATATTTTACATTGAAATACAAAATGCAACATTACAAAAACTACATACGAGAATACCCATTCTAAGTCTTTCATGGCTTGCAACTATCAAGAGTTTTCCACTATCGGATGATCGGAGTTGTCTTAGTGGGTACATAAGGCGTCATGAGCGCTTTGAGATAGGACGGCGCCAGGTCATGCAAGCAGCGGTAGCACAGAGTTGCAATTTTGTATTCTATGCGACCGCGGACCGGCAGCCAATGAACTCTCTTAGAAGTGTTTTAGCATGTTAAAATTTGCGTTTGCGAAAAACCACCATGAGAGCATTGCAGTAGTCCATGTGTGACAGCACGATTGCAGACATCAGCCTCTTTGTTGCATCAAACGTTAAGAAAGGCCTGATATGACTAATTCTGAGCAGCTCTAGAAAAATCGCCTTGCATCAAACGTTAAGAAAGGCCTGATATGACTAATTCTGAGCAGCTCTAGAAAAATCGCCTTGCAAATCATGTTAATGTGATTTTCCATAGTGTTCTGTCTAAGTAAACACCCAAGTTTCGCACAGTTTGAGCAAATTCAATCTGTATGCCTGAGAGAGAAAGGGGTGGTGTGTTATTTACAGATTTTAGCTTTTGAGCGGTAGCAATGGGGATCAGCTCGATCTTTTCATCGTTCAATTTGAGTTTGTTTATGTTCATCCATTGCTTAACTGACTCCACTGTCTTCTGTGTCATACTAAGAAGCTGAGGGAACTGAGAGGGGGTCAGGGATTGCTGAAGTTGGATATCATCCGCAAAATGTGATAGAGCATATCAAACCCGCGAACATGTGATAGAGCATATCAAACTGCTTGATCACTGCACCCAAGGGCTGAACGTACATAATGAAAAGCATCGGGCCCTGGGGAACTCCGAATTCAATAATAGATTGCTTTGAGGTCAAGCCGTTTGCCATAACTGATTGTCAGATACGAGCGGAACCACCTCAAGATGGTATCTGTGAAACCGAATGTTTTTTGCAGACTTTGTAGAAGTATGCCATGGTCAAGTGTATTGAATATTATATTATAATTATAGTTACTAAGACTAATGACTAAAAGCTAAGTGTAAGTAAAGTTATTAAGCTAAGTCTTCTAAGTTTAGACATTAGACTAGTAAGTAAAAATGGTTATATTATTATTAGTTATAATTCATATATTACTGTTAATATTTAATTTTAAGTATGATTACGTATTTAGGGGCCATCCATAAATGATGTGACAAAAATTTCTCAGATTTTTTACATGGTCACAAATCGGCATGAAAGTTAGACTCTCCCTCCAAAATAATGTCACAAACCTCTGCACCCACCCACCCCTAAAAAAATCCATTTGTCCACTACTGTCTTTTACAAACCCTTAAGAAAAAACCACCTCCCATGGATATCGAATTACTGCACCTGTGTCAGAAACATTTCTCTAGTACAGTGACAGTGGTTCTTGGTTAAAGTGCGGAAGACTCAGAAAATAAATTTCACTTGCTGTCATTGCTAGTTGTTTCTTATGGGTACTATTTTATTTAGGGGGGGTGGGGGGGATGTTAAGAAGTTGAGAGAGGATGCAGCACTGCGAAAAATCGGAGAATCCTTGGCCCCCCACCCCAAATTTTTAAAAATTCCATCTCACTTCACTGGTAACCCCAATTCTATGATTCCCATCTCCACGTTTCAACATAAATTCTGATGACTGTCAAAGTTACTACACCCCTATTCTCCTCCTCCGTGGAGATGCCATTTCTCTGACCTCGCTTCTGACACTTCTGTACTGATACTGATTCTCTCAGTGAGCATAGTTTGAAAATAAAATAATTATAATTTTTTTTACAAAATTATGATAAAAATTTGGTTAATTTAGTGTTAATTGGGGCTTTTTGGTCTTACTACAATGTTGCTTTTAATGTGACTCACATTGAAATCCAGACATTGTTTTGACCCCCCCCCCCCCTCCCCCCACATCAAACATTGGAATGGTCCCTTGCCTTAGTAAAATAGGCATAGGCCTATGGCTATACTGTACTTAGTATAATAAACTATTAATTTTATGAGCCAGTGAGTTGAGCTCAGACTAAGAGCTAAAATGACTGGACTGGGTGAGCATGAAAGGGGGTGTAAGCTACCCTAACTAAACTTCTACTTCTAAAGTTAAAGTTAAAGAAAGTACTAAAAAACAACTTTTAAAGAGTTTAAAGAGCTATAACTATTAATTATAATTCAGCGCATGCATTCCGTAGACAAGTTAAATACATTTAGTATAATTAGAGCATGAGCCAAACAATCTAAAATAAATTATTGCCGATTGAAATATGTACTTTATTTTATATATAATTTACCGAGGCTCATGTCCACTTTATTTTGTATAACGTCAGCCATTATTCAGTTTTTTACTTTAATCTCTTGCGACTGTCTTCTGTCTGAAGATGTTAAATTTAAAAGTAGGAACTACTAATACAGTATTATTGTTCAAAATAAACTATTACACGAAACAAAACGGCGATATTGAAAACTTGAACAACACATGCGCGAAAATTATAACGTAAAATGTAGGTTTTTGTTTCTCATTGTGATGAATTTTAAATTCTTTTCATTAACGTAATATTATATCCAACAAATATTATTTTAGTAACTAAAACTTGCTCCCCTAATTACAAGAAAAAATATAATAAAATGAGAGTAGGCCTCCTTAGGAGGCATAATTCAATAGCAACTGACTGAACTTAGTATATATAATTTTGAACTTTAAAGTCATTAGATTTGGCCTTTTGTTTATAATATCTTATACATTTTCTTGTGTAATACGAAACGATCTGTCATACTTTTTAATTAATATTGTCTTTAATTTTAAGTAGAAAACAAGAACATTTTAAACAATAGTCACCGCATATTCCTATTTCATTATTAACCCCAATTAATGACATTCCTAAATATTATCTGTAACAATAACTTAGTAATTTAATTAAGATCTTACATATTTAAGACACAAAATAAAACCAAAAGTAATTGTGCAGGGCAATGATTAGTTTGTAAAAGGACTTTATGACTATAATATAATGACAATAAAATGATTCTACTCGATTTCTTTTTTTCTTTCTAAAGGTTAAATGTGGCAACTGTTTATTTATATATTTATTTTAGAAGACGGGCAAACTTAAATTGGATCAGGCATAACAAATAAAGATTATTTTTTTTTGGGGGGGGGGAATTGGGAAAGGGGGGGGGGGGGGTTTGGGGAAAAAAATTTAAATACTTTCCGGGTTTTTTTTTTACGTTTTTTTATTCCTTTTATTTTTTGTGTCAGTGGTATTTTATGTTGTGTGTAAAATAATTAAATACATTACCGGTATTTTATTGACGTCTTTTTAATCCCTTTCATTTTAATTACATTTTATGGCAAGTGATTCACCAAAAAATATTTAAATCATTGAAGAATTAATTCTATTTTTAGGTAGATAGGCAAACGTTGTAAAGATTAATAACTTTAATTATAATTTCCCCATCATGACAAAACACTGTCAACACAGAGAATGGTTTATTTGATTCGAGAGAATAAGGGTTAAAAAATAATAATAATACAGGTTAAAGTTCATGCAATAGGACTAGTCCATTTTTATAAATAGGAGTAACAGGTATTAAATGTATTGTATAGATTACCTAGTAGCTGTTGTATAAAATATATCTTTGATACTACTTTTTGGTAAGTCATAAAGGCATATAATACGAAGTTTGGTTAGGATAGTTTATAAAACGCTAGTTTATTGGACCAGAATACATGAATGTGATGTGAAATCTCAGGCTGTAGTCACTACAGTCACAGTAGTGTGTAATTTCGAACAAAAATTAATCCGCGTAATGGTGGATGGAACAGATAACACATATTCTTCTCCTCACAATCACAGTCTAGCACAGTGGATTATCTTCTTTTTAAAAAAAATAAAAAAATTATAAACATCATTCCCTTAAAATATAGTCCTACAAAGAAAGTTTTAACATCAATATTTTTCAATAAATAGACTACTAGCAATATTAGTTCATTATCAAATGTGAGAAATGTGAAAAGAAGAGTTAATGTTTTTTATTTATTGTAATTGAGACTCAGTTCGGTATATGAATATGCCTATATAAACTATAATGATAAATCATAATGACCTATTTATACTTCTTAAGTTATATAAGTCTGTGGTATCGTATATCATGAATCATAGCCTACGTTTAAACTATACTACAAGATTATTTTGTTTCAAATTCAAAGATGCAGCTGCATTTAATTAGAGGCCTGTGTGACTGTCTCGGTCAATTTGTATTTGGGCTTTTCACTAATTTATAGTACCTAACCTATAATGAATGGAGTATATTGTATTGAGTAAATGTAGTAGTAGTAGGCTACTTCTGTACTAGGTTTATTAATTCTAGTATAAGTTATGAATATATGGTGTTGGTCTTAAAAGATGATAAGTTGGGTTTCAAAGAAATAAGAAATGCTTATTAAGATCGAAGTAACTAAAAGAGAATTCGAGATAATGGAATCTGCAAAGCGTAAGTACGAACTGTTATTTAACTCAAATGCAAACTGTATAATAAATTCAAGACAGGGAGGACATATATTTTCTTTTTTAAACATTTGACCCGGAAATATTCACTTGAAGAAAAAATAGCGGATCACGTGCCTTCAGCAACCAACCAGCGACTGTTTTTACGGAAGCAGAAGCGGTCTATTCTCATGCTTGTGTTTGTTGCAAACTATGCCCTATACCAATCTTTTTTATCCAAATTTACTATACCTGACCTGAGAAAGGGAATTTAGACCAATAATTTTAAGTAATACATTCACTTGATTGGTAAGTCTAAAATTCATTTACATGTAATCATGGATTTAGTAAGGGGCCAAGCAAATTGAAATTGGTTCTTCTCGGGCTAGTACGAGTTTGACGCTGCCGCTGGAGGTAGAGTGTGTTGTGCTATCTTGGAATTACGCAGAGGCTCACATTCCATTTTACTCTTTGAAATCACATCTCATTATTGGCATCGTCTGTAGCAATCATGTAATGTTGAGTAAATAATTGTGTGTAACTAAACCTTTCAATATGTTACTATTGAGCAGATCTTAAAACAGGGCTAGAACACAGCTACAGTTCCCCACCCCCGCGTTTAAAATAATGGAATATGCCACTACACATACCCTCATTCATCAGTTTCTGTCGCAGTGGCTTGGGTGAAGTGTGTAGTTTAGAAATTTACCGATGTACGTTTGCTGTAGCTTAATTTTCCGTGAGATGTGACCTTAATCAACATCTTTCAACTCCTCAGTATTATATGACAGTATTCGAAAAGTCCTAATTGGATGAATTCTAAATGGAGGGTATCAATTAAAATATAAATAATATCTGATGATAGTTCTTGAAGTAGTGACTGTTATACATGCCATGAATCGAAACCATTTCATTTATAATTTTGTCATGATCTTGGTTTGTTATAAATAAATAGAAAGAAATTTGATTCAGTTTAAATTGTGGAAAATTGTTTTTTAGATTTTTAAAATTGATGATTCATCTAGGGTGCTAAATATTAAAAAGAACTTGAATTGTTAAAGTTAAGGCCTTGCTAGGTAAGTAGGTAAGCTCTCTTGTCTACTAGTCTAGTACTAGCTAGTTAAAATTGAAAGAAGATTGTAATCCAAAGGAGCTACACTAATACTAGGGACTAGGCATAACTCTACTAGTTTTTACTATTAAAGTTAACTGGGTGTAGTGTAGGAGTTGGCCTATATCATCTGTTACTCCACTTTTTTTATGTATGCTGACCATTTATAAACTATAATAATTACTAATTCACTATCATAGCGTAATTAGTACTATCACTATCACCAAATAAAAGTTACTCTGCTAAATTTTAACTTCACCAATGTCAATAATAATACTAATATGCATCATAGTTGGTCTAGGCCTATTAAAATTGAATATTAACCTATAATATATAGGTATAATATATATATTAATATTAGGCGAAAATGCTATATGTCTATAGTAGTTTTAAGTCTAAGTCTAAGCCATCTAAGTTGACTTGTCTTGCTAAAATTGTTTGACTTTATGTAAAGGGAATTTAAAAAAACAACTTTATTTTAATAACATTAATAATAGTCTTCTAAGCTGAAAAGAAAAATAATTGAAAATTGTCTGTGGAAAAAATGTAGTAACAAAGGCTAAATAAAAGATGCAGGAAAGTACCCAAAACAAGAAAAACCATCTTAATATTAGCCCTATGTTATATATGAATAATTCTTTGATCTAACTTTTAATTTTTCCCTTTAAAAGGATTGATTTTGCCATTAAATATTTATTAACACCTCCAATATTTTAAATGATAAACCTACTTGAAATAGAAAATTAGGCTGCTCTTCATCATGAAAAAAATATAAAAAATCCAGATTAAAAAAAACTATAGTAAATGTATTTTATTATTATTATTAAATAAAAAATACTTTAAAAAAAAAAAGATGATGTATACTTATATTTTATTAGCTACTACTACTGGTAGGTCAGGGTGTCTCATAATTTTGCCTCCCCTAATTAACAAAAACAACAATGTAAAGAGAATACACATAAAGAAATAAGCTCTTTAAAGTATATAAAATGCTGCCCAAACAAATGTCTCTGTAAAACCGGTTCAATAACAATTTCTAAAACTGATAATTGGTTTGCCAAAAAAAAACCCTACAATATTAACATCCCTAATTAAAGACTTTCTCTCCATTTGCATTTCCATCTTGTCTGTGGATCTTAATTTTTGTTTTCACACGTGACATTTTAAGATTGAGTCTTTCTCGTGCAGTGTTCACTTGGTGAACGGCTGGAAAAGAAAACTGGGTTGACGGAGGCAGGTTGACACTATTGCTCAAATTATCATGGTTAAGCACCTATCATGGTTAAGCACATCTGCTTCGGCTGAATGAACGGGTGGGTGGGTGAGCTCAGATCTACTTTTTAGCTTTATGCCTAGGTAAAGAGAAGTCACTGTAAAGAGATTTTTGTAAGCATTCGAAGTTTAAAAAAGTAAATTCTGCTTTGGTCGATAGTATAAAGATTAAAAAGTAGAAAATAAAAAATATTTTAACAAATCTAAAAAAAGACTTTCCGTCAAAGACGAGTTAAAATTAAAATGCACTAAAAAGTATAAAATAATTAAAAGTTTTATTAAAATGCATGAATCAAAGAAAGTCTATTTTAAAAAATAATGAAACATATTTAAAATTCGTCTACATTTACTTTGAATCCTTTGGCTGCATGTAGTGCTCATATACACTTCTGCACAGTATTTCTTTGTGAAATGAATTTTAAGACAATTTAACTTATTTTCAATTTAAGTGCGTTTTAATTTGTCTTTGATAGAAAGTCTTTTTTTATAAAGTTAAACATTTTTTGTGGTTAGTTTTCAGTCACGCACAAACAAAAATGTCTTTAGCGTTTATTTTGGTCATCTTACTAATTTTTTTCCCCCTTATTTTCCCTTACCTAAAGCCAAAATTTATCTAGCGTATGTCATTACAAATCACTCTTAATATGTTTTTATTTGGCAGGTTTCACTCATGAACAAAATTAAGCCAGGTGCCATTGGTGATAGAAAAGGGGATGGTGTAAGTAGTGAAGGTGAAGCTCCCCGTATGATTAACTCCCAAACAACAACTGCTGGTCTTCTTTCAGCGCGACCACCTTACCCTTTGCAGCCAACAGCTGGGCATACATATGTACCGCAACACCATGAAATGAAGAGCTTTGGTGTAAGAATGACTTATATCTGACTGCATCTTGACTAATTAGTATTTATATCTAGGGGAAGTTAGTTCTTTCCCAAATATATCAAATATGAGTTATCCAGCTTTGCGTCACTCAATTTTAAATCTTTTAGTATTACTTTTAAAAGTATATCTTAAAGGAACCATTAAAAAAAAATTGCCCATGCAATTAATTTAGTAAGTAAAATTGTGAGTTTATAATGTTCTATTTTTAGGTACTCTAAAAAGTTTTTTTCTTTACAATTTTTCTACTTTTCAAAATAATAGTTTGTTTTAACCTATTTACAACCTAGTTTATGCCTCAACAATGTTCTTTTTTGTAAAAAAGAAATCAGCACGTCCAATAGCACCAGCCCCCCCTTCACAGGGAGTTCAGAATATATCTGCTCGAAATGTACAGTCTTCTCAAGCAAATATACCTAGCATCATTTCACCTTGTAAGTAGTCAATTTATTGCTTTACTATGTCTCAGTTTTTAGGAGCTTTATGTTTATGGCAATTTAAAAAAAAATTGTATAAAGCTATCATCATTATTCATGGATTTATATTTTTCTCCTGCTGTTGCCAAAGGGAAATTGTCTAACCACAGTTTTTTTATTTCTTTTCTGGTTTCTGGCTCAACACATTAAAAAATAAATTTTTCAGTGTAATATAATTTTATCTTGTGACAGATTGAAAATTCAGTCATTTAAATTTTAACATACTTAAAAAGTTTCAAATTCTCTGTTAAGTTTTCTTTCATGCTGACCTCATGTCATTCTCAAAATTTAATTATTACTTAAAATTTAATTTTTTAAAATCTAATGTGTTGAAAATACACCCTTAAAGAGATGTATTGGGAATAATAAATAGATCATAATAAAAATTAAACACGCCAATTGACCTATGCTTAAGAATCATTATTATTTTTAGTTTACTAATGTTGTTGTTCGTCCGTCGAAGTCGACAAGGACCATCGAATCATCCGGTTAGGGGCGGGCGGGGGGGTTGGGATTACGGTGAGCTCTTAGGTGGCTAGTTTACTATTGCATCTGGCAAACCCACAGAAAAACTTTTATGACCCCCTTTTTGGCTGGTACCCATGGGTTGGGATCCTGTTACTTATTAGGTCCAGCAATTCATTCAGTCTTTATATCTTTCAAAGCATTTTATATTTCAGCATTGGGCCAAGCTGCAGGGAATGATGGTATTTTGAATCTTGTTACTACCACAGCGCCAAGTGGACTTGGAAATACTAATCATAATCCTGTAACAGTACCAGTTACCCTGTCACAGGCCAGTGTTCTTCATTTGGGCTCCAACTCTTTGTCAGTCAATTCCACCATAATGCAGCAGAGCATAGCAGGTTCCACGATTCCCATGAGTATGTTGAGGACAACTGGACCAGCGCAACAAGCACAACCACAGATCCAATCATTTGCATCAAACTTCTCTCATTTACCGAGGGGTAAGTCATGCAAGAATTTAAGACCTTAGTGCTAAGCTTAAACAAATATCCATTAATCTGGCTCATTTAAGATGACTGCCATATTATAAATATATAACTAAAATCTTTTTCTTTGGTGTCTAATACAAAAATAACCTTACTTATTGTCAGAATTTTCAAAATGCAATAAATCAAACAGATATTTTGTGACCTAAGTACTTTTAGTTCAGGGTCTTAATTCTGAGATGAATTATCTTTCTAAAGAATGTGATTTAAGAGCTGCAGTTTCTTTTACAATTTATTTCAACGAAATAAAAAATGTCCATTACATACAAAAAATAAAAAATTACGATACGTTATTAAGGACTACTGCATAAGTTTAAAAGATAATTAATTTCTGAGATATAATATTATTTATTTTTCACTTGAGCTTGTTTATTATTATTATATTTTTTGTGTGTTCTGGGATAGCATAGACAGCTGGGTTTTTATTGCCATGCCAACTTGGCAGAAATCTTCCGATGTTAGTGATTGAGGTTTATTTTAAACTCATGGATCCCCAAGGATAGCTACCTTGCTGGGCTCACAAGTCCATTCCACTTATTTACCCATATTTGAAACAACTAAGGAATTTGAACTCTCCACTTCTTGGTTGTGAGACAAATAACCCGACTGTTTAGCCAAAGTCCCCCTGGGAGTAGAAAAAGCGTTTTGAGATTAGCAATCCTTATGATTTTTTAAATAAAAAAAATAGTAAGAATTTTTATGTGATTGGAAAAATGTTGCACTGATATCCAGTGTTTTTCAGACTAAGAAAGACTTTAACAAGATTATTATAAATTAGATAACAAGATTATTCTAAATTAGATTCTTCTTAGATTTGTTTAATAAATAGTTTAATAAGATATGTTCGATTTTTCTGGATGTTATTTAATAAAAACAACCTGTTATAAGGACCGTTACTTACTCATCATTTTAAATGTGTTTATTCCTTTCATACTAACATATTTATCATTGATATATATATATATACAGGCCCTGCAACACTTACAGTACCTAAATCTACAACAGTGTTGCGCCAAGTAAATTCTCCTGCCTTACAAATACCAGCAGGTGTAAGTCCTTCATTATCATTACCATTAGCAAGAGCACCTCTCCATCAAAATAAGACCACAGCAACACAGGCACCAAGATCTCAGTCACCTGCGGTTGGAGGGCAACCTGTTCTTCCAGCTCAGCCACAAGATTTATCTCGGTAGGTTTTCAAGTTAACTTATTTTAGCATGTCGTCATGAATTCTCCAAGCATCCCATTCCTTAGCAAGTTTCCCAACTAGCCCCATTTGCTTCTCGTTTGTGTTTCTGCCTCTTTTTTCCTTTTGCCACTGGAATTCCAGGGATGTTTTCCTTGGTTTTATCAGGGTCGTGGCTATAAAGTGTTTATTCTTATAATTTTGGTTTTTGTAACATACAGTCTTATCAACTTGATAAATTATTGACCTGTGTTGTTTAATTTTGCATTTAAGCATGATTCTTCTGTCATAAGAGTGCTGGGACATTGCAAAATCTCAGTTCTTGAACTATTTGAAATTTGCCCAAACAATTCTAGACTTTAACTTTGGTGTTGTTTCTGTCCTTTCTAGTAATAAGAAAAATGTCAAACTCATGATGCAGTCTTCTGTGAGCTGAGCCCCACATAAAACATGTTTCCTGTTAACTATCTAACGAGCATTCCTTATATTTCTTCAGTCATACTTGTGTATCATTATTATATCTTTTTAAAATTTTATATAATTTGAATTTCCATGCTAGTAGTTTTTCTGATTAATTGTAACCATTCTTATGTGCAATTTTTAAATCTTGATTTAAATATTCATGGTCTTATGAAATAACAGTAAAGATCTATAATTATAGTGTTCCTTTACTGGATTAACATTTACTTTTCAGCGCAAATCTTTCCATTCATGGATCTATTACACCTGTGACACCTGGTCCATACCCAATGCACATTACACTGAACCGTATGAACACACCTTTAAATTCCGATGCCACCGGCCAAGCACGAACTATAGCTGCCCAAGTGCTGCAAAATGATTCTCCCAGTAACCTTCAGCAGCGCATCAATGTCTCATTGTCTGATTCAAATATGCACCATCGTATCACTCCTGATCATAACAGGCCTGGAATTTCTTTTGTTTCACAAGCAAAAAATAATTCTGCTTTGGGTCCGCAAGGAAAAGTAATTTCAACTCAAAATCAAGTACAGCAGGGTCCATCCATTAAATCAGGTATTTTGAATAAATTTAAGTTACCTGAATTGTTAAATTTTGATTAAGTGATCCATGAGGATATCTTTTCTGTTATTTTCTGTTATTTATATTTTTTTAGCCCTTATCTTCTTATGCAGATATGTAGACATTATGCTTAATAGTGGTTTATTCACTGCAGAACAACATACAAAAACACACAATACTTATTTTAAAATTTAATAGTCCTAGTTTTTGAATTTTTTTATATTAAATTTAAAAACAGCACTGCACTCCACAGAAAAAAGTGCTGAGTGCACATTATTATGTTGGGTTTTTTTATTGCCGGTTTAGTTTACAATTTGGTTTACCATTTTCATTTATTTTATGCTGAAAGATATTTCTTTTTCTGATGCATGCAATATGTAATAAATAATCTAATTTCACCCATGTGTTTGTAAACATCATGCTAATAAAATTTTAAGATTTTCATGTGTTATCATTCTTAGTCAACCTTGCTGTATCAACACCAGTGATGATTAATTCAATGAATCCTTCTCAAGCAAATACGACCACTACAATCGCATCCTCCACAGCTCCAATACCTATAGGTAAGCAGTTGGTTTAAATTGTTCTCTAAATATATTCTTCATAGATTGTCTAACCATGTTGTCAGCTTTTAATTTTTATTTTTTAACATGAAGGCGAAAGATGCATGTTCTTCTATTGTTAGAACGTAACTAAGCTTTGGTTGGTGCCATTTACACAGATAGCTCTTCAGACCCTGAAAATATTTCTTTCTCTTTATTTCAGCTAAAGTCACTCCACAGAGACTTCATACTGTCTCGGGCAACATGGCTCAAATACCAGTCCCACACACTCCATCATCAGCCTCTGTATTATCTTCCATATCAGCGTCCCACACCAATGCAGTCACATCTTTATCATCCTCTTTGCCTTCATCCGCCATCCACTCTGGAGACTTAGATCCAGCACATCATGATCAGCAAAGTCATTCTAATACTGGTGCTATTATTGTTACTCCAGAATATCAGGTAATAAGGGTGCCCTTATGTGCTTTATTCCATAGCTTTGTTCCAATTTAAGAATTATCATGAATATTGCTCAATACCTTGAGATATCATAGGTGTATTTTGTATATTCTGAATAATATTGGGGAGTGGGGGTGTGTGTGTGTTATTAATTTGGCTTTTAGTAGAAAAAGATTCTTGTTTTCATTTAAAGACCTAAGTTTTTTTCAAAGCTTTTTATTTTTCTTAATAAAGTTTAAGGAGCAAATTAATTTGTTTCTCATTTAGTGTGTAGCCCTTGTAATTTATTTAATTAGTGAGTAATTAAAACCTTTGTAGTTAAATGAATGCGTATAAATAACTGTCCTCATAATTTGAGAAGCAGAATTAGTATGTCCTGTTACACTTAAAGGCAAAGGCTAAATATTAATAAAGAACCAAATAATTAAATTTTGTGCACTATGCTTTTTTTAAAAAAAAAGGAAAGGTGCACTTGAAACTTTCATAAAGGCAACAAAAAAACAAACTAGCACTTAAGTTTCTCAGGCCATTGCAAAGCTATTTCATGAAATTGTTCAATTTTTATTTACAGAATTTTTGGTATTTTGAAAAGGCCTGGGTAAGAGAATGTAGAGAAAATGAGTTTAAAGTTTTGGTTTCTTAAAAGAATAGGAAATGGAAGAGAAGAATCCAAACCTTTAAGCACCTTTTTATTATCAGGACATTTAATTGTAATAAAAGTTTGTTTTTTTTTTCCTTCTAATTTTGTAATTACCTCCTTTGACTGTTGCTCTTTTATGTCTCCAATCAGGACATTTTCTTTACAGAGACAAAAAAATAAATTTTTAAGCACAGAGTAAAATATTATGTTTCTTGACTTATTAAATCTGACATTTTGAAATTGGAAATAACTTTTATCTGAGATACAATTTGTAATTCATTGGTTGCTAAACCTGTTTTTTTTTTTTTTTTTTTAGGACATTTGATTTAAATTTTAATGTTTTTTTCCCTCTTTTTTCCTCCCAATTTTTTTTTTCAAGCAAAGAAATAAAAAATCGGAAAAGCACATTTTTTTTTTTTTTTTTTTTTAATTTCTTTTTTTTTATATTCTATTTGTATTTTTTTTGTTTCTAATCCTTTTTTTTTTTTTTTTTTTTTTAGGACAGTTGATTTAAAGTTGCATGCTGTTTTCCCTCTCTCTTCCTACCAATGTTATTTTTCAAGCAAAGAAATTAAATTTTTAGGAATTTTAAAAATATTTTTTTCCCTTTACTTAAAGCTTTGTTCATTTCATTAATAAAGATAAAAATGTTTATTGTCTGATACATTTTTTTTCTTCAGATTTATGTTATTTTTAAACATGACAGGTGTAAGTTTTGTTTCCTAATATATCAAAGCTGCAGTGGTGTCCATTTATTTTCTTTCAGACACGTCCCCCTGGATCTATCATTTCACTTCCTTCCTCTATTGGGACTGCAATGTCTTCAGCCATTGTATCACAAGCAGAAAACAGGTTAGTCATTTTGAAAGGAAAATATTAAAAAACTAACTTTATACAGATGGCTCTACTGCTGGTAACACACTGTTTAAATGAAAGTTGCCTCCCCTTGGAGTTAGACCCCACTTTTTAATTTAATCTCTTAAAAACATCAATTTAATTTTGCTCGAATATAAGTTCTCAATGGATTAAATTTTACTTCTGTTGTGCTCAGCAAACCAGAGATATAAACAATGGAATATAATTACCCACTAATAGTTGTATGTTTATATATATCTTTATTAGGGTGTCCCAAAAAATGAAGTTTTGAAATGTTGATGTCTCACCCCACAGAATATGTCTGTATGGTAACAGTAGTTAACCTGCAAAATTTCAGCTCATTTGGACAATGTTTAGAGGTCCCCCAAGAGGTTTAAAGTTCCAGATTTTGGTGTAATATCATTCGCGGTCAAATCTAATCAAGCGTTAATGTTGCATTATATGCGAAACTGATATATTAAGTAACAAATTGATGCTTAGTATTGTTTATAATATTAAATGAAACAAAATATATAAATCTTGAATGGTTTATATTTTCAAATTTGAAATTTAAGTAAAAAATTATGAAAAACAAAGTTTTTATTCATTTTGTCAAGTTAATTCTTGAAAGAATGTCAATCTGCTTGAAAAATAATAATAAGCAATGCAATGAAGCATTCCTAATATTTATCTTGTACTTTTTACCGTAGGGTAGACAAAAATTAAAAAAAAGTTATTCAAATTTAAATTTTAGCCAGCTGTTCACGATTACACTCTGCAAAATTTTTCCGATGTTTGTCAACGACTTGGAGCAAAAATTGTTTTTGTTCTTCGTCCTTGGTGATACTGTCATTGAAATGTTGTATCAATGCTACACCTCGCTCTGCAGAGTCATTGATACAAGCCAGATTCTTTACAAAATCTGCTGCAACTTTAAAAGATGGTGTATCTGACCATGCTTCAACAGGAACATCTAGAAAACTGGCATCAATGTTGGATGTTTCAAAAAATGTGGTAGAAGCACGCAAATCAACAACACTTTTTGGTAGTGTTTTTATGAGATGCGGTCCACGTTCTGATTGCATTGTCCGAACAAGGCCAGTTTTTTCTTTGTCCGACAAAGGGGTTGAAAATAACACAAGCGTCGACAGTTCCGGACTCAAGTACCACGAGTGACGAACCATCATTTTCAATCCAGTCGATCGAAGAACAGCATCATCATATTCGTAAAAGCGCTGTATCAACAAGTTATCATTCACAGGTGCATCTGCGGTGAGCCTGCTTGAAAACCATGATTGAAGATAAACACATATGATAAACCGATTAAAGCGCTGAATACCTTGTAATTCTCGAGCTGTTAACTGAAAGATGGTTTCGTTGCCTGCAAACAATAGTTCGATTTTCAATGCATAGATTGCTTTCGCCATCCACCTTGCCCTATGTAGGGCACCAGGTCTGCGAATGCTGACATCAACCTCCAACCCAACCATTTGTGCAGCAAGCAGAAGAAATTCCAAATAATCATCACGTGAATGACTGACCTCAAGTTGACATTTGATAAATTCTTTAATCGAATCGGACACGATTATCAAAGGGGCGGATCTGGCTTCGGGTGTGTGGTTTAATTCTTGCCATTTTTCTCTAAACCTCTTAAAAAACAAAATCTCTGGTCCAGTGGATGGTCCAAGACAAACATTGAATGCATCGGAAAGGAGTACTCCCAACATGTGATGACGGCATGCCATCCATAATAGATTACGTCCCAGGGCTACTTCTAACAGAGTGCAAGCTCCATTGAGTCTTCCAGTATTGGAAGCCGTAAAGTCGAAGCACATGCCGATGACCATAGATTCGCACTTCCACGATTTGATATGTCCATATACTGCATTAGCAGCTGCCCGTCCTGACCCGGACCCGGATGCTAACTTGGGAACACCAAGAAGCTTTGTAGTGCCATCGACAAGTGATGAGAGCAGGACAGGTAATCGATCCACGTTGTTGGTAACCTCTCCGGTAACATCGGGCAATAGCTTACCATCCCAATGAACAATTGATTTTGAGGGAATATAGTCTTCTTTTATACGTGCTGCAGCTTGTTGACGATGAAGCTTGCGATGACGATGCATTGTGCTCTTGGAAAATACTGTGTCAGATGTCGGAACACCAGCTTCGTTGAATGCGGATGCAAGTATCATTGTAGATTTTCTAATGCTGGTGTTCGTTCTGTCCAGCACTGCAGCAACTTTTGGTGATATGATGCTTCGTCTGCGATGTCGTGTTGCAGAATTTGTTTTGCTTGAGGATGCTGATTGGATGACAAATTCTTCATCAGGTTCTGCATCGTCACTGGAATCCCGACAAATGGATGAATCATAATTGTTTCTAGCCTGACAATTTAGCATGCTTAGTTTAAAACAATCAAATCTTCAAAAAATATGCACAAGTTTTGCACATTAGGTATTTTATATGTTTTCTCGCATTTATTACATTTTCTAATTAAGAATCACACAATTTCATTTCTAGTTAATGGTAGCAATGAGGTATATATAAGTATATTTAAACTTCATTTTATTCATATATGGCATGCAAAAACTGCAAGTTATTTGAGCCACGATTCGTCTGGATTTTTATGTTGGCCTAATACTGGAATTTTAAAAGCTCTCGGGGGACCTCTAAATGTTGTTCAAATGAGCTACAACTTCACCAATTCACTCATTGTACCCAAGAGACACATTTCAGGGGGTGAGACACCAAAGATTAAAATTTTTTTTTTTTCCGAGCATTTCTGGGACGCCCTAATCTTTATATGGCTGCAACTATTCGTACCCAGGTACCAGAAGTGAGAGGTTGGAATTAAAAAACTATTTAAAATATTAGTTAAACTGAAGAAGTAAGTTTACAAACATATAGTCCATTCAACTACCTTTCATTTGATACCTCATTTTGTCTTACAAACCCAACAATAATATTTTAATTTTAATCCCAACCTCTCACCTCTGGTACCCGGGTACGAATAGCCACTTCGTTTTCATATATATGTATGTGTGTGTATATATCAGATATTAATTGATATACATTTGTAAAATCAAAATGTTTTTACTAATGTTTCAAAGAAAATTAGTTAATGCTACATCTGAGATTTTTGACAATTAAAAAATAAAATCTTTTCTTGTTAATGCTTTTAAAGAGATCTTTACTCGAGATGTTAACTGCAATAGAAATCTGCGTGACATAATTATAATTTCTTTTAATAGATCAAGCAGTCACACTCAACAGCAATTGAACATAAGACATACTGACCCTGTGTGGTATCAGCAAATGTTACAACCCGTGGTTAGACCTGGGACCAACTTCTTTATACAAAACCAAGGCAAAAGTGAGTTTTAAGTAGTTCTTATTAACTTATAAATGGCTCATCAAGCAATTGAAATCAATTTGAACAATTTTAAATATCTTTAAAAACAAATGATATAGTTTTTTGTTTTTTTTTAAGTCCTCTTCTTCAAAGTTCTTGTTTTGATGTTTTGAAAAGTCGGTTACATTATAATTATTTTTAAAAACGTTGCTGCATCTCAATTATTTTTCTTCGAACGTATAGTCCAAACTCAAAGTGCCAATTTGGCAGCCAGCCAGTTAGCTGCAATATCTGTAGCTTCATCCAATGTGAGGTTTAACACAGGGGCAATGGTTATGGTGGATCAGCTGAGGTACCAACAGCATTCTCTGCACTCACCATTCAACACTGGAACAACCACATCAAATGCCATGGCTGAGAAAACTGGTGAGTTTTGAAGCTTTGGGATGATGTGAAGTGTTTGTGTTTTGTAATTGCGTGTTTGGTTCGGAGAGTATTTGTGCAGCTGTTGCTTTGTATTTTGTGATGTATTTGGGTAAGAGGAAACGAGGTTGTTAAATGGTGTTATAGATGGAAATGATGGCAGTGGTGGAGTGCTAGATTTTCGGAGTTGTATATTTAATAAAGAGTCATTTGCTCTATAAAACTTTGGTTGTTAAGTAACTAAATTACCCTAGACAATGAAGGTATTGAACTGGTAATTCCCAGTTCGTAACATTAAGTTGTGACCTGTCATAAAAATATAAGGCTCTGATAGTTTTTTTCCTTCAAATTCAGATTTTTGTGGTCTTGCTATTTTCACAGAAGAGAATTATGTTTTCTATGTTTTTATTTTCAACAATAAACATTAACATACATATACATAAATACAAGTTCTCAATAATGTTGACTTTCTGCTTGCTTCTGGCACACACACTCCGACTACAGTCTCTCTGCGCATGCATGCTCTTTGACCTAGTTGGCTATCGGGTCGGTCTATTCCGCTAGTCCACTATAACACCTCCCCGAACAATTGCAAGTCCAGTAACAATGGGGCTCAACACGTTGTGTTTGAGATCTTCTGGGTATGACATAGTCTGAAGGTCTTGGATGTCGAGGGTTAATCTTCTTGTTAGGTGGACTTGGAGTTGCTGGATGTGTAGACGGTTGATGACTCAGGGCTGCCTGAGCTGTTGGGTAAAGACTTCCTGTCATTATATCCAAACCTGGTTCTGAATCTTCTTCTGCTCCATACCTGGGGTGAAGTTGGTCTAAATGATTCTTCCATATGGGACCATTCAGATAAATCTTCTCCTTGAAAAGACGAGGACCCATAACTTGGATGATTGTACCGGTAGCCCATCGTGGTTTAGGTCTGTTGTTGTTCCATATATTCTGACGTAACATGGATCTCCCTTGACTAGGACTTCTACTTGTCCCATTACGGTCGGCTATTTCTTTAAGATGTTGTCCCTGTGCTCGATGAGCTGGAGAGGGGAAACTAGAGTATCAATAAGTGTTCTTATTTGCCGATTGTTCAGCAGTTGGCTAGGTGATAATCCACTAGCCAATGGTAAAGTCTTGTAGAGATTCCTTTAAAGGTAATGATGATTTCTTTAGTGAACTCTTGAAACTTTGAATCGGTCGTTCGGCAGCTCCATTCGTAGCAGAATAATAGGGAGCGCCTGCGAGATGTACAATACCCCTCTCTTTACACCAATGTTGAAATTCTTCGGAGATGAAGCTAGAAGCATTATCACTGACTATGGAGTGTGGATAGCCGAAATGAGCAAAATCTTCCTCCAGAAGATCAATGGTGGCTTTGGTCGATGTAGATGTTGTCTTGTGGATGCACGGATACTTTGAATAAGCATCTATCATCACCAGCCAATGTGATCCCTTAAAGTTAATAACTCAATAACTCAATTTGGAGATGGTGTCGGTGGTCATCATGCTGTGAGCTCTTAAAACCCCCTCCGGCACACCCCCACATGGGACGACGCCGGATCTGCCCACCGCCACACTGTGCGGAAGAGTGTCGGAGACCTCCCCCTCGAGCTTAGGGAATGTCCGGTCGACCATACACACTCCTCTCAGAATGTGGACAGTCCACTCTCCATGGATTCAGAACGGCTCTGCTTCCTCTCCGGAGGAAGGGTGTTTCGTTACCCTCCCCCACCCCCCAGGGAGTTGTTCGGTCTAGACGTAGCGTGGCAGGACGAAACGGTGGCCTAGGAGTGGCTTTCTCAGGGCAGCGTACTTTAAATCCTCTGCCAGGTTTTATTGCCACCCAAGCCTCATATCCATTATCGGCGACAAGTAATCATGTTAGTGCGCTTCTTCCGTTGCGTTGGAAGTCATGCAAGTGGTTGGGATCTTTTAGCTTCAGGATGGAACCTCCCTACCCGGTCTTCCATGCCGCTCAGAGGCAAGATCTGGTGTGACACCGCCGAGTCACCTCGGTGGTGTGGTTCACTGACCTAGAGGCGTTTGGTCAGGTCATTCCCGAAATCCTAAAGTTAATGGTCGATATGCACACGACTCCATGATTTTACTGGCAGCATCCATGGGTGGATACTTGCTTTGTTTGGGTCTCTGGCGTGTTCTGTACATGCCTGGCATGTTCGACCTATCTCCATGATTTGAGCATCAAGCCTGGGCCAGTATACAGATGATCTGGCTGTTTCATTCGCTCGATTCCAACATGTCCTGTATGCAGGATTTGGAGAACCGCTTTGTTTGTAGAGGGCGACCAGCTCTCTTGACAATATCTCATTTCTGTAGACACAGTAGAATCTTTAAATGACTCTTTAGCAAGGACTCCTGGCTCTGTTGGTCTGATCTGTAAACTGATTTGTTTGATCATACATACAGAATGGGTGCTGGGTAGCTGAGTGGTCTAAACTGAGCAAATCTCAAGTTGGTGATCTGGAGATCAATTCCACCCGAAGGCCAGTCAAGCAAAAAACATCACCGGGTAGATGGGACTCGTTAACATTGGATGGCGACTCATCTAAGAAAAGGAAACTCTGAAATCAAACCCGGAGATGGAGTCTTGAAAGGCGGATAACATTGTACTTAACATATACTGGGCTCAATGTGGGTTGTCCCAGCTTTCGCCAAACAGATTCAGACATAAAATTTTCTCCGGCTCCGGTGTCAATTTCGAATGCAAACCTCTTTCCTTCTAAAAGTAGTTCTTGAAAATTGGGTGGGATAGTTTTTATTTTGTTTTGCCTTTTTATTCTTTTGAGATAAATTGGTTTCTGTTTTGGAGCATTCTCCTTCTTATTAAGACAAACTCTTTCTAGATGTCCTCTCTTGTGGCAAAAGTGGCAGATCATGTCTTAATACTTGCAGAAATTTCCTTTATAGCCTCTTCCTCCACACCTGCCACAAGTTCCAATCGGAAAATCCTGTCTTTGAGATGGAGAAAATTTCTCTGCTGTTTGATGTTGCTTATTTCTTTTTGTCTTAAGTTTATTGATAGGAGAGGGCTGTTTCTTTGGCACATTTCGCTGCCTCCTCTGTTTCAACAGCTATTTCTACTATCTGGTCAAATGATAATTCAGTGTCCTTCATCCAAAACAAAATTTTCATTACAGCCTCGTTCTTTACAGAACACATGAATCTTGTTCGTAAAGCTTGATAAGTGCCTGCATCCTGTCTTATTCTAGCTGCCAATTCTTTGATTTTCTCCCCTGGTTTCCTACTTGAATCAGACCAAAATTTGAATCTTTCCCTGATCACAAATTTGGTTGGATCGAACTGATCCATCATTACCACATATATTTCTTCCATGGTTAAATCATTTAAATTTTGTGGTGGGTCTCTTTGTTGTACTAGCGTTGACAACATTTTATGGAGTTCTGGCCTTTCGCTGGTTAAGAAAATTTGTGCCTTCTTCTCCTTTGGCACATTATTTGCTAACACCAAGGTCACATGCGTAGTAGTCTGTGAATGTTTCCTCATTACTATTGAAACTTGTGAATTTCATATTACTAGCCGTATGCCCCGTTGCTAGTTTTAACAGTAACTCATTCTGCTGAATCAGCCTTTGAAATATGTCCATTTGGGTCAGATATGACTCATGACAGATTTGGGTCATTGTGTGTAGTATATCTCTTCAGTTATATGAAGTTCCTGGTGTGTGTCAGTCTAACACTAGTCAATTCTGGGTTGTACTGAGTTGTGCTAAGTTGTATTGAGTTATACTGTGTTGTAGAGACTGGCCACCATTTTTGTTTTCTATGTTTTTATTTCCAACAATAAACATTAACAAAAATATACATAAATACCAGTTCTCAATAATGTTGACTTTCTCCTTGCTTCCGGAACACACTGCTCATTCACACACATTCTGACTACAGTCTCTCTGCACATGCATGCTCTTTTTAGTTTTGTTTTAATGCAGTTGAAAATTTTTGCATTCTTCATCATCATTTAGGCTCATTGTCCAGAGCTACTGTTTCAAGTAGTATCTACACTGCATCTGTTGGTGTCCAGTCTCAATTACAAGGTGGAGGTGGAGGAACAGTCAGCGTTTCTTCTGGCCTTAGTGCTGTCCCTGTCACGAACCCAAGTTCTTCACCTAGGCCAAGTATTCTGCGGAAACGTACAAGTGAAGCGTGAGAATTTTTTTGATGCACATGTTGATAACAATTGATTTATTATGTTGGCGATATGAGTGTTTTCACAAGATTATTGATTGGAAAGCCACTAATTAGTTTTAACCAAACTTAATTTTCTTCATTGTATCATATGAAAATATCTGGACTAAATAATATCTATGTAATCAAGGAAATAACATTGAACATTATTCCACATGTATAGTTTTTCATCTATCTCACACATGGGAAACACTGTTATAGGCCATCAAAACTGAGCGAATTAACCTTTTAAAATTAAAAAAAAAAAAACTTTAATTTTTTTCAAGCATTATATTGCTCTCTTAGCTAACACCCAGGTAATGCTCATTTGAAATTATTTCAGAGCTGGTGTGGTGATAAGAAAACCAAATTTCAATTTAAACCAAGACAGTAGATGTCACAGTCCACCCAGGGTTGATACGAACAACTCTGGGTTGAGTTCTCCAAAAATATCTACCAAGTAAGTAGTTTATTTTGTTATTGTTTTGCAATTTCATTGCAAGCTCTCATTAAAACTATTAAACTTGAAACAAAAAACTTCCTATTTAATGGCAAAGTTTTGTTTGGTGTCAGAAGTATAGGTTTAACATTTCATATATTTGGAAACACACAAAAAAAGTCTAATAATGATTTGTTGCTTGTAGAAATTTTTCCCCATTGAGTGAGAATAGCCAGTCATCAACAGATACCGCCCTTTCTTCCAATGATGCAACCACCCCAACTCACAACCACAACAATAAAGGGAAAGGAGAAGGGGAAGACTGTATTGAAAATGGTATGCTAAAAAATTAAATACTTTTAATGAACTTGAGAAACTCTGAAGCAATTCTGGCTTCTTTTTGATAATTCTTATTTCTTCCCTTTGATGTTTTCTCTCTTTTTCCTTTCACTCCTTTCTTTTCTATGTTTAAATTTTAATTAACCCTTCTCAAATTACTTTATCATTCATTTCTGGGTGGCTTCTGTGGAATAACATATGTTAGTCTTCTTGAAAGGTGTAGACTAAAACAGTCTATCAATGAAAATATATTTTTGTCATGGGTATGTTTGCTTAGATGTCCAAAACAATATACTTTTTCAAAAAAAAATTTAATTTGAATTTATTATCTATAGAATTTTGTCAATTTTTTCAATAGTATTTTATATTTTGACCAGATGAACAGTTTAGTGTAACTTCAATAACTTCAACAAAAATGTACAAAAATGTTTCGCAGGTCCATCAACATCAACTTCGATGTTGAATAATATTCCAGCATCGCCTGCCGTCAGCCATACAGGAAGTCTTTCAGAAGCATCACCAAGAAAACGAGCTCGAAAACAATTATTGTAAGATATTTTAAACATTCCCAGTTGTTGTGAATTAAGCTTTCTAGCCTTCCCATGCGTAGCGAGCACTGAAACATAAAGAACATTGAAACATTCCCAACACTAAGTCATAGCCAGCACTACATCATAGTCAGCACTGAAACTTAGCAAGTACTTAGACAATGCCTGCCAGCTGGGAAAATACCTGTGATACTAGATATAATGCTTTCCAGTAGGGATCAACCGGGGTGCTTTCCAGTAGGGATCAACCGGGTAGACATTTTCACTGGGTATCATCCAGGTTTTTTCTGACTACTATTATCAGCCAAATCTGGGTGCGAATCAGGGTACTTATTCTTCCATATACAAAGCTAAACAAGATTCATGATGAAATATACCCTAGGTTACTGCATAAAATGTGACACGCCATGTCCCTATATAATACACTCTGTAATCTATTAATAATACAATATGAATTAACGAAATCAATACTTATTTTTAAATAAATTTTTAAAATCCTTAAAATTATTATATTTAAATTGAACTTTGGTCATACCGATACAACTATACTAGTATCCCTTCAAAGGGGTGCTACTAAATGTACTTATGTTATGCACAAATGCTATGAGCACTTGGTCACCCAATGATTGCATTGTCATTAATTTATATCATTTACTGGTAATGGTAAATTTCTTTCACGAGCACATATTGTGAACCCCCACAATTAACTCTTTGTATCGACATTGTGCATAGTGTGACGTGACGTACGTTGTCTAGGGGTCGGTCCCCTCTGTACTAGCCACAGAACAATTTTACAAGGGTCTAGAACCCCTTTATTTCCAGCTCCTACAGAGCTGACTCTTGCTCCAAGTATCAACAAACAATTCAGGGTTTCAGGTTTTCTTATTTATTGGCTATGTGTGCCTATATGCCACTACACAAAACAGTTAAAGTTACACAAGTCCTCTTCCATCCGTAGAAAAACTCACTCCTTTATCAAGACAGAAGTCATACACCATATCCACAGCACTCGCCACTGTTCCCTCCTTAAAAACTCACTCACACACGTGGTTCCTCCTGACACAGCACACAGGTCATACCTTGACCGAGAAAAATAAAAACCCGTGGGGCACACGAGGAAAAGAAACTCACCCAAATTAACATTATAAAAGTTGACACAGAAAACCTCACGCGATCTGACCGTGACACATAGAGTTTAAAAAAAACCTATCCACGTGACTTTTCTTAATAATAATAATAATAATAATAAGTGGTCTTATATAGCACGGTACCCCAGCCTAGGGCTGGGCTCACCGCCCTGTACATAAATATAGCAAAGAGGCATAATCATAATATTAAAATAAAATACATAAATGAAATAAAAACAACATATAAGCAAAACAACACCAGAGGTATATTCACCCACCCACATCAGAAATTTTTACAAGGAAACCCATGTACGTTTATTGGTTTTTCTTCCGGTATAAAGAAAAAAATTAATGATTAGACTTAAACTTGTTAACTTTCTAAAGTGGGATGATATTGACTTGACTTTGATAATTTTAATATAGGATTCTTAATTAGTCTTAATTTAAGTCCATTTTTTAAAATACAAAATTAGTGTGGACTGATCTTAAAAAACCTCAAAATTTGATGACAATCCGACTTTAATTTAAAGGTTGTGATGTATTCATTTGGGAGGGATGTAAATATGTTAGAATGTCTTTGGCAGCTAACTCTGAGGGGTGATTATTTATGACTTCTCTTCTGGCTATGTTATTTTTTGTGTAATACATAGTGGTAAGTAGTATTTTTACTGGCTTAAACCATGTAGTGCTGCTAATGAGTTTTTCCCTTGGTTTTTCGAGGGATTGGACTACAAGGCACACATTTAAAATTCATGCAGTTTTTAAATTAAAATTCGTATCCCCATTGGTAGTATTTGCCGAAGCAAGTTCTTGAAAAAAAAAACTAAATATATATGGTGCGGGGCGAGTGCCAGAGGCCATTTTCATCGTTCCCATCCATCCTGTGTGATAGCATTATAATGAAAGTTGTGACCCAATACATTTTCTGTTTTTCGTTTTAAGTATGGATTTAAAAATGTTTTTAATATAATTTTTGGAAATTTAGACATTTTAAGTTACAGCTTTGATGTCTTAATATGCAATTTCCGGCTAGCATCAAGATGGCTGCCTTACGATTTTATGTGTACCGAAATTGTTAAAAAACAGGAAAGTGTTGTGTACTGGGGGGGGGGGGGGGTTAGTAAGGTCAAGCTTTTCACCATTGTTGTTTTTAAATGTATATTTTTCTGTTATTGCTAATTTTTATGTGAAGCGCAGTGAGCCTAGCCCTAGTCTGGGGTATTGCACGCTTTATAAAACCACTTATATTAATAATAATAATTATAATAAGAAGACAAGAATTTATTTAAATAAGGTAACTGTTTAATCTGGCAGAAATTGGATCCTAACCTTTTTATGTAAATGAAAATGTGTTGAATAGCGTATAGTAAATAAGCTATTTTTACGTTTGTATCCTCATTTCTGTTGTAATTTTAAACTCGTTCAACAAATTGTTACAACAAAGCCACATTTCTTCCAGACATGCTAATGAAGAGCTCAAGGACAACAACTCTTCATCTGATGAGGAATTGGAGAATAATCCCCATCAGCATAGAGAGGAAGCTGTTAAGGAGCAGAGAGCTAAAGAGAAAGAAATCAGGGGAGGTATGTTAAAAAAAAGTATTCCACAATGATTTCGAGTTAAGTCTTTATTTGTGTTTATCTTGTGAAATACATAAAACATAACTGAAATCACATAGTGAATGGTATCAATGACATATAAAATGACTTTCTTATATGCAACAGTTAATGCTCTTAGGTAAATTAGCAGAAAGGTAGCACTGAAAATACTCAACTTCATTTGACCGACTGTTGCTGTTATTTGACTAACTTTTTGTGTTGTTTCCCCCCATTGCCAGAGTACACTGACGAGGAAGGTGTGAGGTGGGTCTTGAATAAACCAAAGCCAACCTATGTCCTCCTACAGCCAGAGTTTATCAACAATAAAACCAAAAACAACCATTTCATTCGTTACTCAGATGTCAAACCTAAGGGTAAGCACCAGTTTAAATTCATGATTTCATTCTGTTTCTGTCCTGACTAATTTCTCTCTCCTTAATGTTACCCTTATTCATTTTTTTTTTATATTTTCTTTCTCTCCCTTTTTATATATATATATATATATATATATATATATATATATATATATATATATACACTATATAAATATATACACTAGTAGATATACCCGGCATTTGCCTGCAGAGCATTCGGAATGAAGGAACTTCTACAGTCTACAGCCTTATAATTATTCCGATCCCAGTGGGCTCCCAATCCCGCCGGTATCCCGCTCCCGTTAGTATACCGTTTCCCAGTGGGATTCCGATCCCTCTGGATCCCAATTCAGGTATGATCCCAGTTCCGTCAGTATTCCGATCCCGGTGGTATCTTGATACCAGTGGGATAACGATGGGATCCCGATATCGGTGGGGTACCAATCTCTATAGGTTTTAGTTTTCCGTTAGGAACCTATCCGAGTGGGATCCCAATCCCATTAGGATCCCGATCCCGTTAGTATTCCGTTTCCTGGTGGGATCCTCTTCTTTGATAGGATCCCATTTCCTGATAGGATCCCGATCCCGGTTTTATGGCGTTACCGTTGTGTTCATTTTACTGCTGGATCTTGTTAACTTTACTATAAGCGTTTATATCCCTTTATAATTTATATATCCCCGTAGAACTATATAGGAATTTCTGGGAATTTCAAATTTCAAGATAAAATTTAATAACCTCCTCGAAACTTGCAAACAATAATTTTATAAGTAATAATTTTTTGAACTGGAAAAATTATGCAACTAAATGCACTGCTATAGCTATAATTTTTATTAAATTAAAAAATTTTTTTTTGCTGGCATACGTCCGTCACAATGTGACGATGGTGTGGGCTTCAAAGGACGAAATCCACAAGGCCTGGGATTATTCTTCTAGGATTATAAGCAGGTTCCCAACAGCAAATCGCCTCTCTCCATGCCGCTGGATAACCCAAGGGAACATCAAGGGATGATACAGCTTGGCACCACTGGCATCGCAGGAGTTGTCAGAATGTTTCATTGTACCAATGTTATTTCAATTCTGGGTGCTGAGGGGCTGAGTGGTCTAATCAGGGCAAATCTCAAGTTGGTTGTCTGGAGTTCAATTCCAGCCAAAGCCCAGTCAAGCAAAAACATCACTAGCACCCCGAGAAGATGAGACTCGTTTACCTTGGATAGCAACTCATCTAAGAGAAGGAAACTCTGAATTCAAACCCGGAGATGGAGTCCCGTAGGCGGTATAGCTATAATATACATTTAAGCTAAAATTGGGGGCCCAGTGGGGGTCCATTCCATAATTTTACAGAATCAGTTTTGCCTGAGATGGGGAACTCCATAAAAATCATTCAGATAAATTATGGAGTTAAAATTTAAAATTTGCCCCATTAAAATCTATTAAATAATGCCAGAGATATAGCCTTTTAAAATTATCAAATTTTCTGGAAAATTCTAGATGGGATATTATTAGTTTATAATCCACCGATAAAATCATTACGGACAGAGAAGTGTACTGCTACCATCCTAGATATATATCCATCAATTCACATAGAACATATAAGTTTTAAAAGCCTATTATGAGTTCAATATTCTTCAGTATTTGAATAAGGATAATCAAGTGTATGTGTACTAAGTTTGGTCATGATCCATATATTCATTAAGCCTATTGATATTTACAGAGCTTATATAAGGAAAAATGAAACGGGGTTCCCAGCCCCAGAGGAATGGATATTATGAGCTCAGTACCCTCTGGTATTTGAATATGGAAAAAGGAAGTGTATGGATAATCAAGTGTATGTGTATTGAGTTTTGTCAATATCCATCTATTCATGGAGGATTATTTGTAGGTCATTTATATGGCTATATGTGCCGTGTTTGGTCAAAATCCATCACTCCATGTAAAAGCCTTTGTTGAACAGACAGACGGACAAATGTTCACTTTTATATAAATATAAATTTTTTTATGAACAAGCATCTTTTTTATGTACCTGATGGTTTCAGGTCATCCAGGTGACTGCAGTGATATTTTTACGACATACATAAGCAACAAATTATAAGATATTAATGACATTACAACATTAAGAATAATACATTCCAATGAGTTTTTTTCCATTTACAGAGGAAAGAAGGCCAACGGTGCATGAGCTTTCTAATCAAAGAGGAATTACTCAGAAGGTCAATGGCTGGAAACTATACTTTACTGCCTCACAGTTAGAGGAATTGGTAAATACGACAGTCTTTTTGATTAAACTTAAATTTAATTGCTAACATATTTGGTTCTGAAAATGTAAGCGTAATGAGCTATTGGTAATATTACTTTAGTTGTAATGGGGTATGGTAATATTACTTTAGTCGTAATGGGGTATTGTTAATATTACTTAAGTTGTAATGGGGTATTGGTAAAATTTCTTTAGTCATAATGGAGTATTGGTAATATTACCGAAGTCGTGCAAAGTAGAGTAGATATCGGTTCTGTTAATGTTAACTGCCCAAACATATTTTATAATAAAGGCAACATTGAGACAAGTGTTGTCAAATGCTTCATCCTCTACATCCAATTGTATTACATTCTTTTCCACTAAATTTTTCTTTTTTTTGTCTTTTCTCCAACAGATGGATGTGGAGAGGGATATGCAGGAACAGTTCTCTGAAGTGCAGGCAGCCTTAGCACAGATACCCACACATAAAATGAACAGCGAAGAAGCAATTAAAATTCATGAAATGTCCCAAGTGAGTCACTGTCTCAGAAATATGAATGCTCAGCTCAGAATATTGAATGCTCAGAATATTGAATGCTCATAATATTATTGAATGCTCAGAATATCGAATGCTCAGAATATCAAATGCTCAGAATATCAAATGCTCAGAATATCAAATGCTCAGAATATCAAATGCTCAGAATATCAAATGCTCAGAATATCGAATGCTCAGAATATCGAATGCTCAGAATATGGAATGCTCAGAATATCGAATGCTCAGAATATCGAATGCTCAGAATATCAAATGCTCAGAATATCAAATGCTCAGCATTAAAACATCATAAAGCCATAACCTTCACTGACTGAAAAATCTACACAATTTTTAACCTGGATATCTTCAAAACCTCTGCATCTAAAATTGTATCAGTTTATTGGATTCAATGGAATCTTTGTAATCGATAAAATTTGATGATTCAATGTAGTATAAATAGTTATTATGGTTGTTAAATTCAAGACTTTATATTAGTTGTCTGGATTTTTACTGAGACATTTTTTAGCTGTCTTGATTTATACTGAGACATTGGTTAGTTGTCTTGATTTGTACTAGGACAGCTGTCTTCATTGGTATTGGGACCAATGTTCCCTTTAAGCTGCGCGGCCGCACAGTAATCTCACAGACGCAGCACAGCAGTTTTGAGTAAGTTTTGAGTACCGCGCAGCTAATTTCCACTTAAGTGTGTGTTTGTATCTGTAGGCTGTAAAATTTTGCGCACAAAAAAAATTGATGCTGTAAAAATTTGATCACAACTTTATGATTTTGCACACGAACCAACAAACCTTAGAGGGAACATTGATTGGGACATACTAAAAGTTATCTTCTTTGTACTGAGACAATGTTTAGTTACTTGATTTGTAATAGGACATATTTGTCTACATTTGTACTGGACTTAGTTGTCTTGATCTGTGCTAGGACATAGTTGTCTACATTTGTTCTGGTTGTCTTGATCTGTACTGGACATAGTTGTCTACATTTGTACTGGGACATTGCTTCATTTGTCTTGGGACATAGAAATTAGTTGTCTTCATTTTTAATGGCAAATAGTTGTCTAAATTTGTTATGTGAATAGTTGACTTGATTTGTACTGGGATATTAATTGTCTTAATTTGTGCAGGGACATTTGTGATCTAAATTGTACATGGCCATCAGCGGTCTTAATTTGTACATTGTAAATTGACCCCCTAAAAAAAAAACAGGTAGTACTGAGGTCCCCAAATCCTTGATCTTAAAATTGAAAAATTGATATTCCAAAAGAGAATTGTTGAGAAAAAAATAAATGAGTTTAACTTAATTAATTAAGATGTACTTTGATATCATTTGCATTTTATTACTACACCATTCTAACGCAATCCGTTTGAACATCATTCCAACGCAATCCGCTTGAACACCATTTCAACGCAAGCCGTTTGAACCATGTATTTTACTTGTTTTTCCAAGGAAGCATCTGTTCTGAAAAATGATTCATTCTTTTCACAGGCAAATATTCAAAGATGTGAATTGATACAAAATCAGCTGACTGATGCCAGGGCCTCCATGATAAGAACATTGGAGCACAAGCCCCGTATTCAGGAAATTGTAAGCAAGCATGTCAGCAAGAGGCCCATAAAGAAAAAAGAAAGAACGTAGCCCAGGTTTTAACAATAATTTTTTTTTCAAGTATGAGTTTTTATTGACAGTTGTGATAAATGTGATGTGAATTTGTTGAAGACTAGAGATCATCTGCGTGAATGTTCCGGGTATAGTATTGTTTTATTTAGGTGACAAATTGAAATATACATGACAGTAGATTGGTTTATGAAGGTGAGTAAATTAATCAGTGCTCGAACAAAACATGAGAATCACTTATAATTTGATGGTAGATAATTCATTTGCCGTTTTTTAAAAGCATGGTCTCAACTGTGTGGTTATAAATTAATTCTCACCTTTCTGTTGAAAAGATTCATGATTTTTTATTTTTTTTTTTTTTTGATTTTTTTTTTTTTTTTTTTTTAAAGAAAAATTTCTAGTCCTTAGCAAATTAAATTGTGTGCATTCAGTGATTGTGAGATAGTGGGATCAAAACTTTTATGTACAAAATATTTAACAAAACAGTTCTATTTCATGACAACTATTCCGCTATATCTTAGCTTTTTAGTGCATATGAATGGGTAACATGACTATATATATTTAATATTGTTTTTCATTACACCATGAAGACTTTAAAAAAAAAGTTGGAATATTGTATGAACTATTTTGACTATGATGTTCTCCAAGCTATGGGGACATTGATCAACCAAACAGTTTAGCCATTCCCAAGAGTTGCAGTAAAGTAAAACAATAAAATTGTCACTGTAATCTTGTATTATATAAAAGAAAATTTGCTGTACAAGTCTTGTGAAAGTTTTCTTAAACAAAAATTTAAGAGGAAATAATTTGTGTCTCAGTGGTCGAGATCTGTCATGGTCGTCACTTTAAAATGCTTGGAGACACCACCACCATGAGCCCCTTCCACCCTTCCCCAATTTCTTATTGATTATTATTGACCAAAGTTAATGGAAAGGCACCTCAGTGTTACAGCAGAATACCACATTGGTATTTAGAATACCACATTGGTGTTTGTTTGGAATGGTGTGAGGCCAATAACATTGTTGACCTACATTCAGCATTTACGTTTCTAATTACGCTTAGCTGCCTCATTTTTTCTTATCGGTTCAAGGTTATTAACAAATAAAAAAGTTGGTAGAAGATAAAATAAATTGATAATTCTGAATTTCTGCTATATTTTACATCATCTTATTATAATCAGTTAAGTTAGCATGCAATTGAAATTTTAAAAAAATAATTAAATGAAAAGGTCATTTTAATCTTTTCAGTGTTAGGGAAAGCCAATAATTATCTAGCATACTTATAAGGTTATTACAGCCTTAAGATATGCCTATGGATTCCATATTTTTTGTCATCATTTCAGAGTATTATATTTATTTTGTTACAATGTTAGATGAGTGCAAACATAACATTAAATTTATATCTCATTTGATTGCAACATGTCATGCTTTTCTGTGAATAGAGATTTAAAAAAAATAATATTTGTTTTAATTTCATCGGAGCAAGAATACAGTTGGTGCCATCTTCTAAATAAGTTGGGAATCTCACAAGTAATTGTTTGTACAGAGGTGCCTTAGGTGCCTGTTCAAGGAAAACTTTTACAATAAAATTTTACAGGGATTAGCTGATATGCCTGTTATGTGGAACTTATGCTAATCTTCTATTGCTTAAGTTGTTATGGAATGTTGAGCAACTATCGAAAGCCATGATCAGAAATCATATACTAATCTTCTATGGATTAAGTTGTTAAGAAATGTAAGCAACTTTAGGAAGCCATGTTCAGAAATCAGAGTAGTTTCAATTAAGGCCTTCAGTTGATCCTAAGTGGGTTTTCCGTGGGGTTTGTCACTTTTGTGTGGGCAAGTCACTTCAAGGGTAAAATGATAATGTAGAGATGGAGCAATATTATCTCTTCTTCAGTGTTGATCCATGTATTTAAAAAATAAACTCTTTTTAGTATTAGGGCAAGGGTCTCTCTGAGCGCTTGGTCTGTCATTATTAGCAAAAGTTTTTATTTTTAAAATGTTTACACATTTTTTCACTAATGCAAATCATATGCAATTCATATTGTTTTTGTTACACTGGCCATTTCAATACTTTGACTAAGAAGAGCAAAGAAAGAGGCTTCTTAAAACAGTGGTGCTTGACTTGAAAAAGTTGTTGCATTTCATTGTTACGAAAGGTGATAACATACTGACTGTGTGGGTGTGTGTGATTAGCATCTTTTGTGGTACAGCTACAGATATGCTGTTTCTTCAATTCTTGTACTTCAATAAGGTGTCTACACAGTAGCAATGTAGAAACAGTTTGACTTGATGAGTTGCCAAGTGTGCTTGATCTTGTGGTTGAACACTTATGATGGTTGGCGTTGGCCGCAAAAGTTCTTGGGATCTATGGGTTTTGGAACATGTACACATTTGATGAAAGATGTCCCCCTAAGGTTTTTGGGGATTGAAGATCTACATGTGGGATGTATGGTCATGGAAGATATGCACTGGAGTTGGGAAGGCTCCAGTTAATCTTTTTTAATGTTGAGTTCAAATATTTTTTACATTTGATGACAGTAAAATAGAAGTAAGTGAGTATAAGTGTTGATAAATGTAATGTCTGGTACTGGTATGCTTTAAATTGTTTGAATATTATTTTAATCTGGGGAGGGAAAGGGTGGTGGTGGGGGGGTGTGTAAAAAAAAAAAGGGGGGGGGGAGGTTTGTAGTTTGAAACATAAGTCCTTAAAATTAAAAAAAAAAAGGTACAAAAAATGAAAAGACCACCAATACATAAATGGGAAAGGGTGGTGGTGGGGGGGTGTGTAAAAAAAAAAAGGGGGGGGGGAGGTTTGTAGTTTGTAACATAAGTCCTTAAAATTAAAAAAAAAAGGGTACTAAAAATGAAAAGGCCTCCAGTCCATAAAGAAGTTTGATGAGTTAATCAGAGATGAACATTCAAATCCATGTGGAGCACAGAAGTAACAAACTAAGATTGTGAACTAGCCCTACCATATAAGAGCCAAGCTGACAATTTAGCTTTCAAGTCACGTTTTATGAACAGGAATTTTTTTACAGCACAAGATATAAATATTTTGACATGTATTTTACATTTTACAGTATATTTGAAATGTGTCAAAAAATCTTTCATGGCAGACCATATAGTAAAAGGAAGATTTCATGTCATCCCATGGCACTGACAGTGCAGCAAATATGTAAGAGTTCATAACACAAATGTTACTGCTAGAAATGAGATAACAAATTGTATCATTTAATGGTAGCACCAACTTTTCACAACAACCTTTTAAAGCCCCAATCCCTGTTTCAGATAAAAATGGATAAAGGACTGTGATGATAAATTTTAATATTTAAAAAAATAACATTTATGAAGAATCTCTTTGGGTTTAATAACTGAATTTGTATAACATTCTGCAAATGTTTGTATATTGTTGTATTGTGTGGTTCTTCGTTATTAAAAAAAATAAATTTTGTGCATTTTATTTTAGGAAAAGGATTAAATTAAAATAGTTTATCTAATATTGCTACATTTTTTAAAACTCAACTCGTTCGTTGGCCTGGTTTGATTTCATTCATATAGTGCATTTAGTGCAATGGTGGACTACTAAACATTTCTTTAATAATAGGCATAATATTTCACTGTAAGTTAAATATGTTGTTTAAAACTATACACAACATTATATTGTTTGGGGGTTGAAAGAAACTTATTTTTACATGGTCGGATTTAAAAATGAATAATTTTTTATAAAACTGCTTATGTGAATCACACAATTGAATTTATAAGTCTCCTCTGCTTTGAAAACTAACAAGCCTTCATAATCTATAATTGTAACTACAGTTGCCATGCCATATTTGTTCCATGGAATTTTAAGCAAAATTATACTTGTACATTCATTAAATGTCTTTTTAAAATTTTTAAAAAATATTAAACTTGCGGTCTTGTACATTCAAGGTGCCACTGATGTTACAGTGTGCGAGTTTAATTTCATGTGGGGTCAAATAAGTAGATTCTCATTTGAATGACATTCTGTCCTCCCAAAGACCCATTTGAAGCATAGCAACTTGTGAATACTGTTAATATAATAAATATACACTATGGATTGGATTATAAAATTGTTGTACAAATTTGTTTGTCACCTTTCTTTATTTCTGTCCACCCCCCTCTCATTTGAAACATTCATAATGCCAATGTTACAAAGGTGATAATATGTGAATATATTATTATTGTTGATGATGAATGAAATAAATTATTACAATTTTTATAAAATCTATTTTTTTAAAATTATATTTGTGAGTTTGAGAATATGTCCATTTTCACAATTAACTTCTTATTTTCTGAAATAAAGATACGCAGAGCAGAAATAGTCTTGGCGATACCATCAACAACCACCTTCAATGATCAGTTAACTTATTGTCTGAAATAAAGATATGCACAGCAGAAGTAGTCTTGAGCATACTTAGACCTCCTCCAATGACAGAATTAAATCAGAAAATTCACCTTTTAAAAAGAAAAGGTTCTCATATCTCAGCAGCCTGAATCCTACTCTACAGACAATGATTTGAAGCAGAAATTCTTGACCACTGTGTTTTAAATTGAGGCGCTTTTGCTCATTCAAAGTTTTGTGATCACAAAATTATCCGCAACCTCCCAAGAGGTGCACATTAAATTTTATCAGGTTAAATTCCGTAACTTATTTCACAACATTTAATTATTATAACACGGGTAGCGTAATTTGTTATTTTTCAACCAAAGTTTATTGTTGGAGAACACTAGCTGAAGACTAAATTTCACAGCGAGATTTGACCATACAACAGATAATGTTGGGGACGTGTAGAGTTATTGTAAGTAGTCATGGAATTAAGAAAATAACAATGATACTGTACTCAGAGGATACACAAATAAAATTGATGAACATTACTGTAAAAAGCAGAATCTAAAAGTAAAAGACTTAAAAAGTACAAAAAAATTACAGCTAAAATAGCTTAACATTACTTATGTAAACCCCCACACACAAATGAAGGATCTTTTTTTTTCACTCTCTTGACCTTGAAAACTTTAAGCTAAGAACCATCAATGTTACAAATTTTCATTTGTTCTGGACATAGCTAATTCTAATCAAATATAAAGATGTCATTTTCTTTTTAAAGCTTTTAAAAATGCTTATTATATAGAATTGGAAGCATCCCTAAACATGTCATATGAAATTATTAGAAAAGAAAAAAACATTCATTTAAATTTCCAAAATGATCTTCACTTTACAGAAATTGGACATGATAGCTTTCCATTAATTTGATGCAACAGTTGACAACAAGAAAACCATTGGTACCAGAATTATTTTGTTTTAGTCCATTGGTTTCAATAAA